TTCCCACATAAACGTCGTCGCTGATGTGTGGCCCAGGCAATTCATTGACTGGGAGCATTTTGGGCGCTTCGACTACGGCAAAACGGGCAACATGGAGCATTATGGCACAAATGATGTACCTTTGTACAACCTCACGAATCTGCAGATGCCAACGGCATTGTTCACGGGATCCAAAGATACCTTAGCAGATCCTGAAGATGTGAAGCGCTTGATGAAAGACTTACAAGGCAATGATCACGTGGTCTACTCCAAGGAGTATGAGGACTACTCCCATTTGACTTGGATGGTAGGCCTCACTGATGAGTGGATCAATGACTTGAAAGTCCTGCTGAAACAGTACAATCCCGTCACTTCCATGGTTTCTGAGGTGGTTGTATAATTAAGTTTCACTGTCGCAGACGTGCAGCTCGACCAGGTGATCGGTTGAGTTTCTGAAACTCCTTCCATTTTGCCTACCAACCGGTGGTTGGACTTGCCAGCGCCGTGGAGAAAGGTGTCATTTCGTTGAACCTTCACCATCTGGGGGGGGGTTGAATCTCCCCATGATTGCTCATGAACATTGGTTTGTCCATGGGGGATATGCCAGTGGATTTTGAGGCAATCGAAAGGTTCGGACAAGCCCAGTTTTCCATAGTTTTGCATGTTTGATTGATCATTAAAAGCCTACTACTTTAGATCTGTTATATCCCATTCCATTCGTATCCATCTGATCTTCACCTTGTCCAAAATTGACCAGATTCTGCTGGCTGAGGACTTCTATTCGGACTCCGTTCAGGACCTGATGAAACCACAGGCTGCCATCGAAAGGTGAACTCCGATTCGAACCCACTTGGAGGATCCCACTTAATCACCGGTTAGCAAGGTGGGGTTATAACCAGTGAGTTATACATACATTTATCCCGTTATCCCATAGAACTCATATAACAGTAATATGTACATACATGTCATATGAGTTATATGGGATAAGCCGGGTTTTTACCGGCGAACTCTCCGAGACCCATGGCTTTTCTGCATGAGTTCGTGTGCTTTGCGTTGCTGCAGGTGGTTCGGCATCTTGAGTTCATACGAGCTGTCGATGGGGTCTTTGGAGCACCTTGGCTTTCATCCTATAGGGGGACCTCCAAAACTTATTTGGGGGTCAATACCCAACAATACCATAATGCCATAATACTAAGGAGGTGGACATCCATTTATCAGCTATTTTATGCTGTGAACAGAAGGGTACCATAGGGTACCAATGTTTTGACACATACCCGTTTGATGCATTGCGAAATTGATGTTCGAGCATTCTAATTGTGTGTCCACACCTTGGGCCCAAGAATGGTCCCAAGGTCCCAAGGTCCAAAATCAGCACCGCACCGCCGCAGCGCGCAGGGCTTTGAGCTGGAGAAGCAACCCATCGTCAAGGTACCCAGGTCGGTCAGCTCAGCTTGAGCCTCTCCGCGCAGGGGCCTGGGGATTTGGGGGCGGAAGTGAGGCCTGGGCACTGCTTGAAGAAGCACGGCGATGACATCAGCCCCTGCGATGATGAGGCGAAGTTGCGAAGCAACAAAAAAGCAGAAGGAACGTTGGTAGCTATCACCCTGTTGGGATATCGATGGATATGGAATGATATGGATAACTGTTGGTTTTCATGCTACTAGTAATTAGTTTTGTTACTATCTCCGTTTTCGTTCTTACTAGTTGTAACCGCACGTTTCATGTGGCGGCTCCACCGCCAATCGGAGTCCAATGCTTTTTGTCCCAGTGATATTTGGTAACATGGAAGAAGGGGAACACCCAAAATCTCAGGAGTTTTACCCAAGCAGGTCTCATGGATCAATCATTGGGCGCTATCATTAATTCAACTGGTTGATGCTTTCTATTTTAAAATGTTCAACATGTTTTTCTTGGATGATTGTCCCCCAGGTGACTAGCATATGCTTCAGGGGGTAAACACCACCAAACATAGAACCTCTTGGTTTTAAACACACCCAATGGGTCAGCGTTTAAAAAAAAAAACAGCTTCAATACAGGTCACCGGGTCGCTGCTGGTTGTCATCCCCATGTTGGTGAATCTCCATGGAGGGCCCCCATCTTAATCCCCATCATTTGGTGGCTTAAACACTGGTTTATTTTTGGTTGATATTAATCCCCATCATGTGGTTCATAGGATTAATTTTTATGAATCCCCATCATCATATCCCTCTCCATTTTGTTGTTAAACATACTTCATTGACTTTACACCAAAAAAATCATGTGAATCTTCAAACTAATTATTCACATTCTCAAAAAATGATTACCCTCTGGTAATTTAACATAGCTATTGAAAATCACCATTCTTAATGAGAAAACTCACTATAAATGGCCATGTTCAATAGCTTTTTGTATGTTTACCAGAGGGTAGTCGCCATCGTTTGCCTTTAAAAGGGGCCACATTTGATCAACACATCACCATCGGGCCATCGGACCTCCAACCCGCCAGGCCGCTGTGGAGCAGACCTTGAGACGCTTGGCGCTCTTGGTGAAGACCCGTGGCGCCGCTCGGCGTGACCCCGGAGGATCTGGTGGATCCGGTTTGGCAACTTGATCCTCCTATGGCTTCCATAGGAAAAAAGGTGGGTTGCGGGCAGATAAACCAGGTTTTTGAGCCAAAACCTAGAAAAAGGCGAGTTGTGGCACCGAACACCTGCTTTTTGGAGGAAAACCTAGTTTTGCAAACCCGTCGAAAACCCGTAAATATCCCGTAAAAACGCGTAAATATCAAAACCCGTCAACAACTCAGCGTCAAAAGCCGCCGACGATGCAGCCAAAGGAAAACCGGGTTTTCACTTTGAAAAGTGGAAAAAAAATGTAAAACAGGGGAACTGGGACAAGACAGGTTGGAGGTCAGGTGGGAGGCTGTTATGTTTTTGTTCAATGTTGTAAATCTTAATGTTTGACTGTTTCTTTCTGTTAATCTTGCTAAATGTGTTGTTGAGGTTGTTGTGATAATGTTTGGATTGAATGAAGGGGATAATTGTTGAGGTGGTCAGAGTTTCTATGTGTAGGTTCAGGTTCAAATTCTACCAAGCTGTTGTTCAAAGATGTCGAATTATTTGCTTCAAATTCATGTATTGATTGACGTTAGGCGCTGTGGTTCCTGTTTGGTTCTGCATATCAAGCATCCTTCAATACCAAAGCCAGTTTGGCACAAATTGACTGAACCGATGTATTGTCCCTTTTCTTCGACATTCCGCAGATGCATCTTTGTGAGGCAGGTTGAGCTTGCGCCAGGCCGGTTCGTCCTTCCAGGCGGTCATGCACGAACACAGCCCGCAAGGGCTTTTCCCGCGCAGACCGTTAAAACTGGTTGGACTTTGTTGAGCACAGGGAGCGTCGTAGTGTTGGTTCTCCAAGCTCTCATTCAAAGGTTCCTTCCTGGCTTCTTCATGAACAGGGCAGTGAGGAAGGCTGGGCAAAGGCTGGAAAGGACGGAGCCCGCCCCTGCACGGCCGGTCGAGGAGGAATACATCAAGGACTTCATCAATTCACCTCAACGTAAAGCTTTGAGCACCCCTTCCTTCTTGGTGGTCAGTGGTTCCCAAGGCATCGGGAAATCAACCATGCTGAACAATCTCATGTGTGAGCATGTGAAGAATGGCAAAAGGGTGCTCCCGCTCAAGATGTCAAGCCGTCCTGGTGAGGACTCGCTGCCCAAAGCATTGCAAGCAGTAAATTTGCCGCGATACTACCCAGAACAAGTGGAGTATATGCTGGAAAAGGTGAATGAGACGTGCAAGCGCCGAACAGGCAGTGCCGTCGTGGTATACCTGCAACTCACAACCAAAAGCCGCGGAGACAAATTTAGTAGGGATGCCTGTGATGACATTGCTTCCACCCTCGGTGCCTGCGCTCGCAACATCACCTACGACAATGCCGCGTGCAAGTTCATTTTGGAGGTCAACATCATCACCGAAAGGTTTAACATGTCAAGGCTGGTTGTGGTGCGACCGCTGCCTTTCGAAGACTTCACATCTGTGGTCAAGGAGGTGGCAAAGCAGGGAAACGACTTCCGGACGCTGAACAAGGTTCTTGCCGAAGATGACATGGACGAGGTGTCGAAGCACTACTACATCCGCACAGGGGGCAACTTCCGCGACTTGGACTTGATACTGGAAGACGTCTCCAGAGAAGGTCAGAAAGGTGCGGATGCGGTCATCGAGCAGGTTGAGCAGTGGTACAAGGAGAGGGTGGAACCAATTGAAAAGAAATTGGATGACCAGGAAGTGAAGGACTATCTCTTCAAGGTGGCTGAGGCAGGACCCATGGGGTATCTCCCAGAGAGCGACGAGGAGACCGAAATGAAGTTGAAGCTTCTTCGTGAGGAGCCAGCAGACTGCGTCCTGAGGAGAACAACCAATTTAAGAGTGGCTTTGAAGCATTGGCATTTCGTCGCCAAGCTCTTTCAAGAGGATGAGCAGAAGTTGAGGGATGCAGGATACATGTGAGCTTCGCCGGTGAAAAAAAACTGTGGCGCTTGAGATGTTGTGGGTGAGTCATCCAAGAGTAATTTTCACGTATTGCATGCATAACCGCAGATACCCAACCCTAGTATCAATGATACCCAGATACCAGTATCTAAGTATCAACGATACCCAGAGCCTAGTATCAATGATACCCAGAACCGAGTATCAATGATACCCCAAACCGAGTATCAATGATACCCAGATACCAATATCCAAGTATCAACGATACCCAGAACCAAGTATCAATGATACCCTGATACCATCTGATACCAGTATCCAAGTATCAACGATACCCAGAACCGAGTATCAGTGATACCGTGATACCAGTATCCAAGTATCAACGATACCCAGAACCGAGTATCAATCATTCACCGAACAAGCAACAACAGACAAATCGTTTCACCCTGAACTTTTTTAGCCAAACCATCAAACACGGACAAATCGTTTCACCCTCAACTTTTGACAAAAGCATGAAACACGGACAAATCGTTTCACCCTCAACTTTTATAGCCAAACCATCAAGCACGGACAAATCGTTTCACCCTGAACTTTTGAAGACAAAAAATCCTTACTTCAACAAGTGTCCTAAAACCATCGTTTTAGCGTTCAAAAAACATCAATTTAGGACACTTGTTAAAAACACAATTTGTAGAGCAACAGACCCAAAAACACTTAAAGAAATGACGCCTTATGTAATTAAGAATTGAATATGCCCTGCTATATGTTTATAGATGGAATTAATCAAGAAATGGACGAAGACCTTTTTGACCAAATGGCGGAAGCACTACACCAATCCAGCAACCCTCAAAATCCACCAACCACAACATCCACAAGATGGAAACCCGACGGAACTTACGACAAGAAACCATTAGACCCCAATTATTTTTCAAAGTATTATCAAAAGAAATTATCAACCCCTTTCACCTGTCCAGACTGCGGACGAACCATCACAAGCAAATCCAATCTATCAAAACACCGTCAAACCAACAGATGTATGAACAGCAGACGACACTAAAAATAAAACTTTCTCATTAACAACGCTTTGTCAATCAGAATGTTTTATCTATTCATTGTCCATTCCCGTTTGTTTGACACAGTTGTTCTTTTGATGCCATAGAGCATAGTATTGAAAAAATTCACGCTTATAAAACGGACATTCAACCTTCAAAAGGCGTTGTTCTATTATTTTCTCTTCATTCAAACGGCGTTTTTCTATTATTTCCTCTTTATGTTTGTGATAGTATGCTCTGGCACGTGCCTTGCCTCTTTCATAGTATTCTCTCGCTTGCTCTGGATTGTCCTGTTTCCACTCCTGTTGCGTCCTACCTGCAATCTGTCTATTGACACATTCTGTTGCTTTGATATGTCCCCCTTCTCTTTTGAACAATTCTTCCTTACTTTGACACGGGTAGTTCTCAATCAGTTCAATCTTACAATTCTCAATACCGAATTCATTGAATATATCTATTGCGGTTGTCTTCTTTTTCATCCTCCCTTTGATGTATTCCTTATATTGTTTTCTATGTCTTTCCATTCTTTTACTCAAACTTTCACAGGTGCTCCCAATATAGCATTTATATCCAACATCTGTAATTTTGTAAATCTTTCCGTTTTCATACCTATTCATACCTATATTTACCATAAGTTGCCATTTCTTTAAAACAATTTATCAAGTCAAACGACGGTGTCCTCACGTTGGACTTCAACCCAGAACCCAATGACCTAAAAACTGAACGAGAGCCCAAAAACTACTTAAAGAAAGGATGTTTTATATATTAAATAAGGAGAATATGGGAGAGGGATGGAGAGGGTGTAAGGTTAAAACATGAAAATTTATCTCAAAACTTAATCCACCAACAATCCAATCATCCGCAACATCCTCAACAAACAATTCACACTGAAAAACTACTTAAAGAAGATTATTAATAATAATATAGATTATACTATAATGGACACTTCACAGCAGATTGTTTTAGATTACCTTTTATCATCCGAAAAGGGTGAGATATTGAAACGGAATGGAGAAGAACTCAAGAAACTTAAGATTGGAGACAAGACCTACAACTTTGAAAGGGGGAAACCCATTTCAAAGAGGTTGATAACAAAATTCAACACGATTAGGCAGACTATGGACTACAAAAAGTGTGAACTGAAAGAGAAGAGAGGCATTAGATGGGTCAATCTGGACAAGAACAAAGCACTCGCAGGCATTCAAATGAGATACAAAGCAACCACCACCAACGAACAATCTGCTTTCAAAGGTTATGTCAATTCGTATGCCATCACTAACATCAGGGTTAGAGGCATAAAAGCACTACAGTATCTCAAATACCAAGATTTGAGGTTAAAAGAGTATTTGAGGAAACACAATGGAATGAAGGTTATGCTACAGGTCTTCGCCACTTTGAAGAGTAAAAAGACTAGTGAAGATCTAAGACAAGTCATCAAGAGTAGAAGATACAGCATCACCAACGAGGGTGAAATACCCAATGTTCTTAATCAGATGGCAAGTGATGTAGAGCATCAAGCGGAGGTGATGGAAGTGTCGGAGAGTGGATTAGTCATAACCCAGATTGATAAACTAAAATTCAACTATGACAAATACAATCCAACTCGTGGGGGTAAGTTCATTCCATTACCTAAATGGGTTTCAAGCAAAAAAACCTGTATCAACATCAAACATCAAGATGAACAGTGTTTCAAATATTCCGTTCAATGTGGTATATGTAAAGTTTATGAAAAAGACCACCCCGAAAGGGTGTCTCACTACAAAAGTCTCAATGATGAACTGAACTGGGATAATGTGAATTTTCCTTCGTCAGATGTTGATATAGATACATTTGAAGAAAACAACGGAGGGAAAGTAGCAGTGAATGTTTATTTTCTTGACCCCGAAGAAGGGAAACAGTCCATCCTACTTTACAGACAGTCTAAAGTATCAAAAGCAACTCATCAAGTCAGTCTTCTAAAACTGGAGGATGGGGATGACTACCATTATGTATTCATCAAAGATTATGATAAAATAATAGGAAGTCAAACCAACAAAATGAAAGCAAAGAAGCATCACTGTTTTCACTGCCAACACGGCTTTTTAACACAAGAACTTCTTGATGAACACGTTGAAAAGGGATGTATGGCAGTTGAAGGACAACAGATACAAATGCCTAATGACGAGGACATTATGGTTTTCAAAAATCACTATAAAAAGTTGAAAGCACCTTTTGTCATCTATGCTGACTTTGAATGTCTAACCACAAGAACGGGGACAGTTTCAACTAAAGAAGTTAAGACTGACAAATACCAACATCACAGACCCTGCGGTTTTATGATAAATGTTGTCAATTCAATTGATGGTTCATCAAAGCCTTTCCTTCACAGAGGGGAGGATTGTATGGATGTTTTTATCCAAAAGATTATTGAAGTCAAAAATGAGATAATGGAAAAAATGAAGGAAAACAAGGAAATCATTATGAGGGCAGATGACTGGAGGAACTTTAAAACCGCAAAGAAATGCTTTATATGTGGTAAAGACTTCAAAGAAGGTGATAAAAAGGTTAGAGACCATTGTCATTTTACAGGTAAGTATAGGGGTTGTGCCCACTATGATTGTAATTTACAGTTTTCAATGAGATATTATAAAATCCCCGTTTTCCTTCATAACCTCAAGAACTATGACAGTCATTTAATCATTGAGAGGGCGAATGAACTATCAGAAAGGGGTAAGGTAGATGTAATAGCACAGAATAGTGAGAAGTTCATAACATTCGCATTTAAAAATCTTTGTTTCAAAGACAGTTTTTCGTTCTTATCATCTTCATTGGACAAGTTGGTCAAGTTGAGTAAGTATGAAGATGGACAGAAGAAACAGCATTGGCAAAAGAATTTTAAATTTAGTAAAAGAAACCCCTATGTTGAGACCGATGAGGATTTAGATTTACTGACTGACAAAGGGGTATATCCATACGACTACTTCAATTCATTTGATAAGTTCAGGGAAAAGCAATTACCCCCGAAAGAGGCATTTTACAGTAATCTCACCGAAAGTCATATTGAAGATGATGAGTATGAAAGGGCACAAAGGATATGGAAACACTTTGGTTTGAAAAATCTTGGTCAATACCACGACTTGTATTTGAGAACTGATGTTTTACTACTCACTGATGTCTTTGAAAATTTTAGAGACCTTTGTTTGGAATACTATGGTTTAGACCCCGCACATTATTTTACCCTTCCTAACTTTGCTTGGGATGCTATGCTTCTAAAAACTGGTGTTGAAATAGACCCTTTAACTGACCAAGAGATGTATGAGATGATTGAGAAGGGTTTGAGAGGTGGAATGTGTCAAGTCAGTCATAAGGAAGCCAAAGCCAACAATAAGTATATGGGTGAAGATTATGATACGGAAAGACCATCTAATTATATCAATTATTTAGATGCTAATAACCTTTATGGACTGGCAATGTCAATGAAACTACCCATAGGAAAACTGAAATGGATAAAGAAGATACTGACAGAAAAGATGATAATGGACTGGAACGAAAACGATGACAATGCCTACATACTGGAAGTTGATTTAGAGGAAACATTTAGCAAGATTAACAGAAAGAAACAGTCAAACATTTAGATTTACAACATTGAACAAAAACATAACAGCCTCCCACCTGACCTTTAACCTGTCTTGTCCCAGTTCCCCTGTTTTACAATTTTTTTGTGGGATATTTTGCAACACCCTCTTGGGATATGAAAGCTCAAGGCTATTGTACATGTGTGTATAAATATATATATATATATAATTATATATATATATCCCAAAGTACTGATTGGCAGCCCAGTCACCTGCAAGCACCACTCCCCTCAGGTGATCTTTGACAAGTGCTTTCAAGATGCCGAGCGATCCTTGGACACGTCGCTTCTTTGTCCTCGCTATTCTGGAAAGGTCGCCTGGTGCAGTCATGGAAGGATGACACCCAGGGAATTCATGGGGGATTAACCAACCAACCAGTTGGATTCACCCATTGGAAACTGGTCAATTTCACCAACCATGGGGATAACGTAGAATTCATGGAGGTGCTGGGAAAATCATTGAACCATGGCTGGGGGATGCAAACCAGAGGGCCTCAAGCAGATGAAGCCTGGAAAAACCGTTGTGAAATAGCGGGCGCGGCACTTGTGGATGTCCCGGTTTTGACACCCCCAGAGATCTCTGACGAAACCCAGATGTAGCAGCCAAGGTCACAGAAGCTCAATTCTGCAGCCACTTTCCCTTCATGCAGGAGACGGGTATGAAAACAGTCTGAACCCAAAACCCATGACCAGCCACCTGCCAATCTCAAAGAGTTGGACCGCTGCAAGCCTGTGGCCAGATATCGCCGAAGGATATCTCGGATTATGAGCTCACTCTCATACTGCAGCGATACTACAACAGCGAAACAGCTGGTATCAACTACGTGGTCGGACCAGCTCAGTTTCTGAACCGCAGGTCTTGACCTAGTAAAACATGTGGGATCCCCCTTTTTATGAACCATCCCCAATCGGGGCCCATCAAGCCTCAGCACCAGAATCCATACAGAATCCACACCCAAGCCATCGTGCATCTGCTACAAGTGTAATAACCATATATTTTTTCGGATCATCAAGCCTCAGGCGATGGACAAAGATCTGCAAGCTCTGATCGAAGAGCCGTTCCAAGAGAGGCCCTCAATAGCCTCAATTCAGGTTAGTGAATTACAGTAATTTATCTAGACATATGACACAATAACAGATGATAAACCATGAAATTGGGGGGCAAAAAAATATGGATGTGTCTGAAAATCGCGGAGCCCTCCAAAATCCATTGCTCTAATCATCATTTTCTTTTTAAAATGAAGCGCCCAAGACCATCTGCGGACGGTTGAAAAGACTTTTTCCATCGGGCTCATGGATCCCAAACAAAAACGACAAACCACTGATCCAATAGGACTCCGCTTGTTTGCTTGTGGAATTCTATTCAAAAAAAATGTAGAACATGCATGGTCGCTGACGATTGGCCTCGCCAGTAGCTACTACGGAAGTGCGAAGAGCACGTGTTCAGGGCCGGGGGACCATCAGATCGGGGGAGCTGGGGTGCCACAAAAGATAAAGGCCGGGTGAAAATTCATACTTTTTATTTTTAAATGTTGTGGTGAATATCGCGACTCAATACATTGTATATGTCCAAATATATATATATATATTATTATATATAAATAAACTTATCTATGTATATGGCTGCGGGGCAAGACCTTCGGATTGGCCCAAGTCAGTTGGGTTCATTGGGAAATCGCGCTACCGGTATAGCCTGAAACTATGGCATTTTTGGTAGGAATATGATATGATTAACCAATGGAGGAACTGAGGAACTTCAGACAAGCCATATTGTTGGTTATGTATTGCAATTGCATCAATGCTAATTGACAATAATAACATCCCAATATATATATATATACACATGGATATATGTATGTGCGTACATATAGACGTATATAATTATGTATGTACACACACATATATATATATATATGTATATATATATATATGTATATATATATATATGTATATATATGTGTATATCTCCATGATCCCCACTTATCTCCCCCATTCTTGGGGTTGTACCTCCATCTGGACCCTCCAGCGCTTCCGATGTGACGATGGGATGGAAGTGGGAAGTCTGAGGCGCCCCACACCACGAAGCGTGGTCAAAGGTGGCAATGCCTATCGGCTTCCAAGTCCGCAGGACAAACACGTTGAGAAAGTGACACTGAGTGACCCAAACTCCCAAACCATTGGGGGTTTCTTAAGTTATGGGGGATCCCCAGTCGTCACCATAGCTTAAGCTATAGTAAGTCATGGTCCAATGTTGGATGGTTTGGGGGGTACCCCCATGACTTTGGGAAACCTCCTTTTTTGAGCAGTGCGACCTAAACCCTGTTGAGTTGATTGTATGGGCTATAATGCAGCAACTATTAATTTTAACTAGGGATATATTCCAATCCCGTGGATATTGGGACCCGAAAAACAGCAGATGCAATACACAACTAGTGTCTGAAAGGATAGAGCATGATAGATTTCATCTTAGGGGTAAGTAACAAGAAGAATTATCAAACATATCCAGGAATCTTCACTGACACTGGTCAATAGTTGAAAGAGCCAGTGCTCTTCCTATATCCAAGCATATCTTGGACTTTCAAACATAGATGATTACACACGCACATATATATATATATAATATATATGTCTATATATACACACATAACTACCATAGGTATACCACAAAAAACACGGTTTGGTTTTTGTTTTTTTCAAAAAAAAAACCGCCGACATCACCGGGCGCCTTTGGAAGCAGCCGCTGCTTCCAGGAACAGGACGATTTGGATTCGGAACTTCTCGCCAGGCTGAAGGCCCACGGGCCCACGTGAAGGTCATGGGGTCCCATGGGGATAAGATGAGAAATGATAGATATCTGAAAAGGTGGGGGTAACATGCAATATATATATATATAACATCTTTAATGTAATTATATACATATGCTACATACGATATATATGATATATTTATGATATATTTATGAATATTTATGAGATATATGATATATATATATATGATATATCATATATATCACATATATATATATATCATATATGGTATGTATGTTTTTGATAGATATGGTATATATGATATATATGATATATATATATATACATATGGTATATATACATGGTATATATATAAATATATATATATATTATGATGTATATGATATATTTGATATATATATATATATATGATCTATATGATCTATATGATGTATATGACCTATATGATATATATGATATACATATATATATGATATATATCATATATATATGTATGATATATATGATATATCATATACATCATAATATATATATATATAACATATAAATGATATATATATGATGTATATATATATATGATATCTATGATATCTATGACATATATGATATATATATATATGATATGATATATATATGATATATATATATATTATATATGATATATATGAAATATAAAATATATATGATATATATATGTGATATATATGATATATATGATATATATGATATATATATATCATATATATCATATATATCATATATATCATATATATCATATATATATGATATATATGTATATCATATATATGATATATATATATATATGATATATATGATATATATATGATATATATGATATATATGATATATATGATATATATGATATATATGATATATATGATATATATGATATATATGATATATATGATATATATGATATATATGATATATATGATATATATGATATATATGATATATATATAATGGATGTTATATATGATATAGATATAAATGATACATTTATATGTATATATATATGGTGTATATATTTGATTTGAGACACATGTATATATATATGTGATATACATTATATATACATACGTGTCATATATGATATATACAATATTTGATATATATATATGTTATATATTGTATACATGTCATATATGATATACAATATTTGATATATATATGTATATATGTTATATATTGTATACATGTCATATATGATATATATATATGATATATTTATATGATATATATGATATACATGATATATGATATAAATGATATATATATATATATATATTATATATATGATATATATGTAAATATTTGTATATGATATATATGATATATATGAAATATATGATATATGTCATATATGATATATATATATATATTTGATATATATATATGATATATACATATATATGATATATATGATATATATGATATATATGATATATATGATATATATGATATATATGATATATATGATATATATGATATATATGATATATATGATATATATGATATATATGATATATATATATGATATATATGATATATATGATATATATGATATATATGATATATATATATGATATATATATATATGATATATATGATATATATGATATATATGATATATATGATATATATGATATATATGATATATATATATGATATATATATATATGATATATATATGATATATATGACATATATATGATATATATATGATATATATGATATATATATGATATATATGATATATATATATATATATCATATATGATATATATATATGATATATATATATGATATATATATATATATATGATACATATATATATGATATATATATATATATGATAATATATATGATATATATATATGATATATATATGATATATATATGATATATATATATGATATATACGATATATGATATATACGATATATATGATATATGTGTGATATATATATATGATATATTTGATATATATGATATATTTGATATATATGGTATATATGATATATATGATATATATGATATATATATATCATATATATCATATATATCATATATATCATATATATCATATATATCATATATATGATATATATGTATATCATATATATGATATATATATATGATATATATGATATATATGATATATATGATATATATGATATATATGATATATATATATATCATATATATGATATATATATATATATGATATATATGATATATATGATATATATGATATATATGATATATATATATATATATGATATATATCATATATATATATGATACATATGATATATATATATATGATATATATGATATAAATGATATAAATGATATATATATATATGATATATATGATATAAATGATATAAATGATATATATGATATATATGATATATATGATATATATGATATAAATGATATATATGATATATATGATATATATGATATATATGATATGATATATATCCCGCCGGGTGCGGAATCGCGCGTGTAGGCGCATCAACATGCTGAAAGAAATGACAACCCTTTCAGTGTTTCGTGGCCTTCTGATCAGGAAAAAAATGTTCCCAAAAAAGGTCATTTTTCTGTCATTTTGCAACCCTTACAGCACAAATTTCGGACCTTTTTTGCCTTGCCACTTTCATTGATCATTGTGCATGTAGACCTCTGCAAACGAACGTTAACATCCCCACCCCACCCCACCCCACCCCATGATCAGCGTAGCAGCAGAGGCGTCTTCGACTTCAACCGAACGTTCACATCTCCACCCCAACACATGCTCAGCGTAGCATGCGTGGCGAGTTCAACTGCAAACGAACGTTAACATCCCCACCCCACCCCACCCCACCCCATGATCAGCGTAGCAGCAGAGGCGTGTTCGACTTCAACCGAACGTTCACATCTCCACCCCAACACATGCTCAGCGTAGCATGCGTGGCGTGTTCAACTGCAAACGAACGTTAACATGCCCACCCCACCCCACCCCATGATCAGCGTAGCAGCAGAGGCGTGTTTGACTTCAACCGAACGTTCACATCTCCACCCCAACACATGCTCAGCGTAGCATGCGTGGCGTGTTCAACTGCAAAAGAACGTTAACATCCCCACCCCACCCCACCCCACCCCATGATCAGCGTAGCAGCAGAGGCGTCTTCGACTTCAACCGAACGTTCACATCTCCACCCCAACACAATGCTCAGCGTAGCATGCGTGGCGAGTTCAACTGCAAACGAACGTTAACATCCCCACCCCACCCCACCCCACCCCACCCCATGTTGAAAATGTGTGTAACTACACGTACGGTTTGGCACCCGTTAGCATATATATGATATATATGATATATATATATGATATATTTGATATATATATATATATGATATAAATATATGATATATATGATATATATATATATGATATATATGATATATATGACATATATGATATATATGATATATATGATATATATATATATATATGATATATATATGATATATATGATATATATATATATATATCATATATATATATACACATGATATATACATGATATATACGATATATATGATATATATGATATACATATGATATATATGATATATATGATATCTATGATATTTATGATATATATGATATATATATATATATATTTATGACATATATATATATATATATTTGATTTGTATATAATGTTGTTTTCATTATTTCACAGAATGCTAACCCCCCCCTCACAAATAAGCCTGGAATAAGACCCGAATAAAAAAATAGGACCTTAATAAGACCTGAATAGTTCCTAATAGTGCCTTAATAGAGGCTTACCTGATTTTCCAGAAATAAGGCTTGAATAAGCCCTAATAAGCCCTAATAAGGAATTTGGGGCAAAAATACAATGCCTGAGAAATAACACCAAAATAAGGTCCAAATAAGTCCTAATAAGGAATTTGAACCAATAAGATCGACACATGAGTTTGGTGTTTAAACATGCATGGCCTGAATTGGCATATCCAGAATCCAGCAGGGTCCCTTCCCGCCACGCTCAGGCTCAAAGGCCATGGCATTTTGCCACTCTTTTACAGTGATTTTACAGTAGTAAAAGAAAATCATGATAAATCTAGATTCAAGTTTGGAATGTTTAGATTCTATCAGTTCCAGATTCTTACCCGTGGTTTTGGAAGATATTTGCACACCAAATCATGACAAGGTTTAGGGTTGTCATTGAGAAACAATAAATGTCAAATTTATGTTTAACCAGCGAGCTCTGCCGCAACCATGGACGTTGACTATGCTGATGATAGCGACAGTCAGATTCAAGACCAAGATGCGAGTTTGGTCTCAATTCAAAATCATGGGCTGCCTGATGGCCTTTTTGTTACGGTTGTTGATCACGGCAGGGAAATGCAATCTCAGTGGTCTGTGACAGACTTCCTGAAACAATTTTTTTCTACCCAGGATGAAGATCGCCTAAGAGAGCATTTTGCAAACAAGACTGGGGAGATAGAGGACATTCATAGAAAACTATGGCCTGGTTTTGAAATCCCGGACAATCTGGTGTCAAAACATGGAACCGAGAAACATGAAGCTTCAGTCTATTTGAAAAAGAAAACAATGCCAACCTCTATTTGTTTTTGTTGGTTGGCTTGGGCACTGGAAAAAGAACGCAGAATGCCAGCTGAGCGCACCAAAACAAAAGCCTTTGCAAGGAGGTTTTTGAAACATGTGCTGCAAGTGGCGGGATCGTTGCAGTTCAACATTACTACTGTTGGGGCACGGGGTTTTCAAGCAGCATTGGGAAGTGTAGTCCAGGTGTCGGAAACGAACAGTTGTGTTGACAGCAAACTCTTGTGGAACATGAATCTGAAGGGGCGAATTGCTCCTACATGGGAGGCGAGAAGAAATGATTTATCAGAGGACTTATCATCTGTTTGGAATCGACCTGAGTGGATTGATTTCATCATATTTGCCCTGGACCCACGCAACAAATCGGTACACACACTACTGGCATCGGTGGCTTGGGAATTTTTAGCGCAAACAGCAAGTTGGGTAGACAACAATGTTTCCAGATTAGCGGTGCTAACTGGTGATTTGCTCCGTGAACGTCAAAAAAACAAAAGTGAGAACTTGGCTGTTAAAACTGCAGTGGCCATTGAAGCTGCAGAGTTTTGGCTCCATAGAAACGACCCTTAGCACATCGTCTATTTATTTTGTTCTTTTTGTTTTTGTAGTTTTCATATGATGACTGATAGATCACATTTGTATTCTTACTTTGCCAATGATTCAATGACTCAGGATGACCATGGAATGACTATACGCAAATTACTGGATGAGTGGAAACTCGACAGTCTACAAGTGAGCAGATTCAGCTCAATGGTATGTGACTCTCGGCTCTTTATTTTTGCAAAACAAATTTTGTTTTAAATTTACGCAAGCATTGGCAAATCTAAAAGACCATATTTTCATAGACCCATCATCTATGAGTTTTCTTGTATTTTTGGCTCCAGGAAGCGTACTGGGCAAGAGCGAGATCAGAACTGAACAGATGCAACGTATTTCACGTTACTTGTCATAACAAGGGAGGGGGTCAGGGCGCGCGCAAAAACCACAGGACTTCACAAAAATGAAATGTTTTAGAGGCTGTCACTTTATGACTTATTACATCCATTCACATCCCAAGCCAAGACCTCCCCTGCTAACAGTAACTGCACAGCTGTCGCCATTTCAACTGCAGGTTTTCATCGATGGGTCGAGCATCGCTGGCAAACCCACGGACTCTTGGATGCAGTTAGTGTGGTCTGGTCGTTGTGGGAAACATGTTGGTAAATGAATATAAAAGAATCTAGAACATTTGAACGATAAAAAGAAACTCCCTCACCCACTCATGTCGTGTTTTCTTGTCACATAAATCCCGCCCTTCGCCTAGGAGCTATGCTATGTGTGGTCGCCAAACATCCTTCACGGAGCCTATGCTCCACCGGTGGTCTGGAACCCTGGAATCCGACTGACTGTCCAACTATTAAATTATTATATATAAAAATATATATTATATTATATGTGATATGATATCAAAGGAATAATGCACATTATAATACTGTCTCGATTTTTCATCACAAGATCTGATGGACAAAAGATAGTACAACTGATAACAGTACGATGCATGAAAACAAGTCTGAGAGAGTCTGTTGTCAAATGTCGCCCGCCCCACTTGACCGTGTTGATCAGCAGCAGGTGAACCGTGCAGTGCAATCGCTGGTGCAATGTCGAACCAAACCAATCACACTCTGACACCATTTATTTAGTAAGCCAAATGTGTCAACCAAAATTGTTCAAAAGTTCTCCTTAGGGCCCTAGAGATCAGATCATTGAATTTTGCATTTCTATTCATTCCAGATTTCAGATTATCAGATTCCAACACTATAGACATTTGTCAATGAAGGACTGAACGCCGCCACGAGACACGATGGCAACATCCGCAAATGGAAGCGTGACCGCTGGTGACGGTGATGCTGTGTCACTGCAGTCCAGGTATACTACAAGTGGACCTACATCATCAGGGTCGAGTACCCCCTCAGCTCCTCAACTATTTTTTTCCCTATTCTTTTTTTACTTCACCATTCTTGGCATTTTGCATCCGGCGACAAACATTTACAAAACAAATGTGCCCAATTATCATTCATTTGGTGAGGCAAGACATTCTGATGGCCCTCAACTACGAAGGGCCGCAAGGGCTCTTTCGATGGCCGTTGATACAGTGTTGAAGGTGGTCCCCAAACGCGTCTTGAAGGATCAAGTTTATTACACGTGAAATGACACACACATGTTGCATTTCTTATGACGCAATTAATGACTCAGGGTGCCTGATGCCCTCACATTTTTTAAATATATTTTGTAATCCTCCATCATTTTCGGGATCCCCTAGCACCAGCAATCACATGACCAGCGCCGGCCAGCAGGAGTCACTTTTGGTGAACGCTTCGAGAACCTCTAGCAGCTGCACAGGAGCTATGACCGCGGAACTTAGCATGGTAGCCCTGGAGTCCATTATCAACACGGCCAGTAGCGCCCCATTCACTGTTCGATTAAGCCCAGTGAGCTGTCACGAATCTTGATTCTGATAATCTAGCACATGATTTTCCCCGTTTTAAAGTTTATCCTGATATCCTGGATAATTCCGTTTCTCATTTTGACATAACATAAACTTGTGTTACAACATACTCAGAATAAGTATCTCTAATATTTTTTTTTATATTTTATGATTTATGGGTATTTACTGAGACGCTCAGCAGCACTAACCTAAGGAGTGGAACAAAGGGTGTCGCCAATTGATCATGGACCACATTGAGTGGATCAAACAGAACAGTGGTTCTATGCGGGAACCACCATGTGTGTTTGGGGATTTAGAATCATGCATCCCGGTGAAAACGTTCGAATCCTCAGATGGGTTCTGGACAAAATTCAAGAAGGTTGATTCCGCAAAGATGTACAGAACACAGTACTGTTATTCCCACAACCGCCAGTGCCCGCTGAACCAGAACAGTGACATGGAGACAGCAGGCCTCCCATGTTGGGACTATTCCTTGGCTGGGAATCGGCTATGTGAAGACGGGCCGACGATTGGGGCTTTTCTCACCCATGCCAAAGGTCATGTGGAATTTGGTACACCCATCGTCATTGTGGAAAATGTAAAGGACTGATTGGGGTAACAATTAAATACTTTGTCAATCAGTCAGTGTTGTTTGTTTTATCTGGGTCTATGTATTCCATTTTGTTTCAATTTTGATGATGTTTGTGATTTCACCCCTTAGGGCCTCCGCATCAAGCTCATTCACGCCCTCTATTCTGAGCACTACAATCTCTTCAGACTGTATGTTGACGTTGATGATGTTGGGCATAGCGGGGCCCGCCGGGAACGGTTGTACATCATCATGGCCCACAAAGAACGAACTGAGCAGTGTTGGGACCCGGTTGCCCTCTACAAGTTGATCACCACCCCGATCAAATCCAAGTTGTCTACCAGCCCTGGGGATTATTTCTTTTCAAGCAGTCGAGAAGTCTATCTGGCTGCATCAGATTTGGCAGCCGTTCGCAAAACAAAGATGAAATCAGCATCGTGGTTTCAGATTTGAGAACATATTTTGTTTATGTCATTTGATCATTATTCCCAATTTACTTTACTTAGTGGTTCAATTGTTAGGTTTCCTGCCCCCTGCCTGCCCCGGCCCGTGCTCGACAAGGTACGCAAAGACAAACCGATGGACTACTCGTTCCTCCTCACGAAAAGGGAAAAGGGTGTCATCAGAACTCTGAACAAAGAATATCAGAAGAGGTGGGGCATGCCGCCTACCACAGATAGGGACCTTGTCTACTATCTAGGAGACAATGCTGTACGCCGTTGTTGGTCGGCCTGTAGCGGCAAGTTGCCAACACTGAGAATGGCAGGAGGCCTTTTGTGGTCACCCCAGAGAAAACGTTTCATGACGGGGCGTGAAAAATTGGGGTCCTTAGGATTCCCAGTGACCGGGCGCATTGCCAGAAACATGAAAGTTTCTGAAATGCCATTGTCAGATGTCAAGAGATGCTCGCAAATAGCGGGAAATTGTATGCATTTTACCACTATTGGTATTGTCCAACTGGTGGCACTTGTGTCCTTTCGCTTCTCAGCAGTGCAGGCGTCAGAGTGCCAGTAGGACCATGCTGCCAGGCTACCTAAGTCTGCTGCTGCTGTGGGAAGAATTACCCACTGCTGCGCTAAAGACTTGTCACCGTAAGCCCCCGGTGGAAGAAATCATGCAGAAGATATCGCATCATGCGTGTTAGTTGGGGATCATATTCAAAGTGAATTTCAAAAAAATTGGACATCATACTATATTTTTTTTTTTTAACATTGGGATTCCGATTGAATTCAATTCCAAAAACTTGGACATCATAAGTCTGAATCAAATCCGGACCTCAGTTTCTTGGTACAGCTAAACTGGAAATTCTGATTCAATTTCAATGCAGTTTTCATGCATTCGATTGGTTTCCAAGGTTCGCGGTCTTTTCTGAAACCAGTCTCTGCACAAATTTACTCATCATCCGTTGCCATGACAGCGGTATTTTGGTGACTCAAGCAGTTGCAACAATTCTAAGATTCCAATCATTTTTTTGGGGGTGTGCCATGGGTCGAACTACCCGTGAGACATCCTCACCGCCCCGACGTCGCAAAGCCACAGCTTCGGAGCCAGAGGAACGGAAGGGGAAGAGTAAAATAAGGAAGACCAAAGTGGAGGAGGAGGAAGACCCGGATCGTGAAGCAGACCCACCCCAGAAACGAATGCGAGGAAAGACCCCAGCTGCGGTCAAGTGTCTTGATTTATAGAATCGTTCTCATATGTTTGTGGGTCCAACCAGAAAATATCAGAAACATGTTCATGTTGGAAATTATATCATATAAAGTCTCATGTGCTTTCAATTCTTATTTGTCTCAACATATTCCGGCCATTGCCATTCCCTAGCCTTACCGCTGCCCAGTTGCTGATGCAAGGTGGCCGGATGGAACGCAGCTTGCACTTTCACCAGAAGAAGACTCTTCGGAAAGTCCCTCAGACACAGAACGGCGACCAAAGTCTGAGAAGCCCCGTCACAACAAGACCCCAAAAGCGAAGTCAGGAGCAGGGAAATCGGCAAAGGCCAAGGCCAAGACGAAAGCGATATCAGACAGTGGTCGAAACATTGAGACGGAGTACTACAAACATTCCAGCCTGCAAGAAATGCCAGTAACTAGAAGGCAAACAAAGTTTTACTCGATTTTACTCACATAGAAACATTGTAAATTTGTCCGTCATTCTTTCTTTGAACTGTTTAACAGTGACACCACAAATGTACGAACTTTACTGTACCTTTACTGTATCGATTCTCTCACTGCATCCCAGCTAAGAACTGCCACTTCCGATTGTGGCTGTCCACTGCGGAACCCAACATGCTGAACAGCATTAATTTGAAGAAGGTGGAGCGAGAGACCCTGTTCCTGTTGATGTCCTTCTGCTTTGGATTTTGGCCGACTGATCCACCAGTAGAGAATCTTTGGTTCGATCATTATTCAGGATTTTATCCTTATCTCCCAATGTTTGTTATTGTTCATGTCTCCTTTGTAAGCCCCTGCCAAAACATTGACCATTGTCATTACCCAGATTCAAAACATTCCTGTTCTTTACAATACCCGCCTTTTGCTCTACCATAGCCTGAATATTATTTAATAGGGGGCCCCTGGAACCTGAACAGCCAAGGAGGAAGAAGGAAAAGATGCTAGAAGAAGTGACGAAAGAATACGAAAGAAGGGGCAAGCCCATGGCCTTCACAGGGTGGGGTCCAGAGGAGGTAAGGAGATTCATGCTCGAGCACATGAAGAAGGTCAAAAAGGGAGGGGACATCGGATTGTACGCCCGCATGCTGCCCAAAAGGAAATCAAGAACTGAACCCGCACCGATGCCACAATGGGTGACCAAAGGAAAGAAAGACGAAACCAAAGTCACTGACAAAGGCAAAGATGATTCAGAAGATGATGATTCATCTGGGGATGGGGTGAGCGAAAGTGAGGAGGATGACGGTGTGAGTGATCAGGGATGGGTTGTCCTGAAAAAGAAACAAAAGTATTTCCTGCAGCACAAGGCGAGCAAAGAGTCTGTTGAGCTGGGGTCACCAGAAGAGGAGTCCACCTGGGAAGTGAAGCTGGATGAGGAGGATGGCATGGAGTACCTGGTGCAAGAAGGAGCGACGGAGTTTGAAGAAGTATCATGCCGAGAATTCTACAATGAGGTGAAGGCTGCTGAGAAAATGATGAGTAAACCACCACGAACCCGAAAGGGAAATCCCCGTGCCCCTTTGGTTGGGATGAAGCCGACAGAAGAGGCAGCAAATGATGAAAGCAAAGCTGATGATGATGATGACTTTGGTGCTGATGATTCTGAAGAAGAGCCAGGGAAAGGAGATTCTGATGATGAAGTGCCAGAACCCATTCCGTATGTGCATGTGGATGAAAAGGACGGTGCCAAGATGTACCTGATCTTCCCCAACGAGGTCAAAGAATTGAAGCTCCCTACCGACAGGTGCACGGACTGGGTAGTCGTGGCAAAGACCGCCAAGGGGGGTGGAAACACATATTGGCTGGAATCAAAGCACAATGAGAAAGAAGTGCCAAGAGATTGTCAAGTGTTGTTGCAAGGCAAAAAAGTGAGGGAGATCAACGACACAGAAAGGCGACAAAAAGCCATGGCCCTGAAGGAAGACTTCGAGAACAAGAAGAAAGCCGGGGCCGCAAGCAAGTTAGAAGAAGAGAAGGACGAAGCAGCTGAGAAAGAGGAGGCGCAGGAGAAGTACAAGCAAGAACTGAAGCAGAAGATTGAGAAAGAGATGCGAGAAGATCTTAAGAAAGAGCAAGAACGCAAACAGAAAGAGCTCCAGGCAAAACTCGAAGAGAAGCAGAAGAAAGAGCGAGAACAGAAAGCCAGAGAAGAAAAGGAGAAGGAAGACAAACTCAGAGCAGAGAAAGAGGAGAAGGATGCCAAGGAGAAAGAAGAGGCAGAATTAGAAAAGAAGAAGCAGAAGGAGAAAATGCAGAAGGAATTCGAAGCTCAGATGAAGAAGGAAATTGAACAAGAAATGCGGGCAAAATTGGAGGCTGAGTTGAAGGCTCAGCTGGAGAAGCCTGGGACTGAAAAGGTAGGGGCAGGAGAACAGCACAAAGACGAGGCAAAGCCAAAGAGTGATGAAGATGCGAAGAAAGAGAAGCCGAAGGGAAAGGACGAGAAGAAGGCTGAAAAAGGTGATGCCAGTTCCAGTACAGGTGGTAAGAAAGGTGAAGCAAAGGACCCGTTTGCCCCGTTTGGGAATGTAAAGGAGTGGATGAACGCAGAAGTGAAAGCCATGAGAAAAAAAGAAAAAGAATTGTTTTGGGATATGGTCAGGAAAAGGGAAAAAAGGGAAGCCAAAGCAAAGTTGAAAGCCACCACCACTGCCCTCCAGGACACCACCGGCAATTTGGAGCCCAAGCTACCACCTGTGAATCTGGATTGAGGGGATGTATCATAGCCGTAGTTGTTGCTGCCGGGATTTCTCTTAGCCTGGGCATCGACTGATGCGGCACATTAGGATTGGCCATGGTCCATGATTTTCTTGGGATATGGAGAACATTGGTAAATTCCAATCATTTTTTTAAGGTCATTATTAGAAATTCTGTCTCAAAAAGATCACGTTCTTATTATAAAAATGCAAATATGGCAATCCCATAGAATGCAAGACTTGAACTTGAGTATTCCTCACCAACCTGTCCTCCATCGGGTTTAGAACTGAAGAGAACAACATGGAACAGACATTAAACGAACTTTGGGAAAGTCCAGACTTCAGAAATTAAACTTCCCCCCCAAAAGAAATTGAAATTGAACCACTCAAATATACAAGTATCTAATTGTGGCACGCCCAAACTTCAGGAATGGAACTTTTCCCCAAAAAAAATGCAAGTGTCACCAAATCCGGACTTCAGAAATTGAACTTCCCCCCAAAAAATCCAATTGTGGCAAGTCCAAACTTCAGGAATTAAACTTTTCCCCCAAAAAAATGCAATTATCAATTGTGGCACGTCCAAACATCAGAAATCGAACTTTTCCCCCCAAAAAATCCAATTGTGGCAAGTCCAAACTTCAGGAATTAAACTTTCCCCCCCAAAAAATGCAATTATCAATTGTGGCACGTCCAAACATCAGAAATCGAACTTTTCCCCCCAAAAAATCCAATTGTGGCAAGTCCAGACTTCAGGAATTGAACTTTTCCCCAAAAAAATGCAATTATCAATTGTGGCACGTCCATACTACAGAAATTGAACTTTTCCCCCCCAAAAATGTAATTGTGGCAAGTCCAAACTTCAGGAATTGAACTTTTCCCCCAAAAAATGCAATTGTGGCAAGTCTTGGCCTGACAATTCTTGAAAAATTAACTTTTCCCCCCAAAAAATGCGATTTTGGGCCTTATTTGGGCCTTAATCGGGCCTTATTTGGGCCTTATTTGGACCTTATTTGGACCTTATTTGGACCTTATTTTGACCTTATTTTGACCTTATTTTGCCCTTAGTTGGACCTTACTTGAACCTTATTTGGACCTTATTTGGGCTTAATTTTTGCACTTCAGGAATTGAACTTTTCCCCCAAAAAAATCCAATTGTGGCAGGTCCAAACTTCAGGAATTAAACTTTTCCCCCAAAAAAATGCAATTATCAATTGTGGCACGTCCAAACATCAGAAATCGAACTTCTCCCCCAAAAAAATCCAATTGTGGCAAGTCCAAACTTCAGGAATTAAACTTTTCCCCCCAAAAAATGCAATTATCAATTGTGGCACGTCCAAACATCAGAAATTGAACTTTTCCCCCAAAAAATGCAATTGTGGCAAGTCCAAACTTCAGGAATTGAACTTTTTCCCCAAAAAATGCAATTGTGGCAAGTCTTGGCCTGACAATTCTTGAAAAATTAACTTTCCCCCCCAAAAAATGCAATTGTGGCAAGTCCGGACTTCAGGAATTGAACTTTTCCCCGAAAAATGCAATTCTGGCAAGTCTTGGCCTGACAATTCTTGAAAAATTAACTTTTCCCCAAAAAAAATGCAAGTGTCCAGACTTCAGGAATTGAACTTGTCCCCCCCAAAAATGAAAAACTATCAGTTGTGGCACGTCCAGACTTCAGAATTTCAACTTTCCCCAAAAAAAGTTAAAAGTGTGATTGTGAGGAATTGAACTTTTGCGCCCCCAAAGTTTGGCAAAAAACAAAAATGTGTTGGGGAAAGTCTAGATTTCAAACATTGAGGCTTTTCCCCCAAACAATCCAAGTGATGGGAAAGTCCAGTTCCAAGTCCATGAAAACCCAGGTTGAATTCAAATCATTGATATATACATTGATGGAACTTTTACACCAAGCAGCAGCCGTTTGAAGTTCTGGAATACGGGCCTCAGAAATGGATTTTTCACAAAACAATCGTCACTTGTATTGTGGGAAACCCAAGAATAATAAGAATCCAGAAATGGGCTGAATGCTCCTCAGAATCATGGAGGTTTTTATAAGTTGAAATTCTCACCGTGTTTCTGGGAGGTTACAGTCAGGTTAGGTACCCTGTTCAAGGTGTTGCTTTGTCCGGTGCCCCATGAGCCATGTTCTGGTTACAATGGTATTATCGGGTATAATACCTGATGGACTATATTAATATTACATTCAAGTTCCATCAAATAAATAAACATGGTGTGATGCACAGTACTAGTGCAGGAGTCCAAGAAGGACTGCAAGACTCAAAAGACTTGCCACTTCCCTATGAAAGGAAAGTGGTATGACGCAATCAAAAGTGGACAGAAAACATGTGAATTAAGGGCAGCATCACATCATTGGACTTCAAGACTAGAGGGGGCCACTCATTGCTCATTCACACTTGGCTTCTTGTCAGATTTTGTCAAAACTCGAACTTTTTACCTTTTATTCTGTGAATATTCAGAATACATAGAAAGACTTTGGTCTGAATTCATATGAGTTTTAAATATGTGACGTAACCCCAAATCGTAATTTACAAGATTCAAAGGGTCGCTTGCTGATTTGTGTTTGGGAAAGGCTATGCACAAAGCACTGCGGTCATCAAGAAAATCACCAATATCGAACGTATTGATGCCGCATCAGCTTCGGACTTTGGCGTTTCACATGAAGAGATGGCAGAGTTGTTCAAGGGCTCGCAGCAGTTGATCGCAGTTCATTTTAAGTAAAGGGCCCCACAGTTTCACTTGTGATTTTGGAAACCAATAAAAAAAAAGAAACGCACTCTCACTCATGAATTATTGAATCCCTTTACTGTTCTTTTGGTTTTCAACAAGTCCCCAGACTGCTGCTTCTGAGAAGCATTTTGCAGCGACAGCGGCGAGCATTATTCGTCCTGGCACATGTGACGATTTGGCCCTTTTAACTCCCTTTGCAGAGAGATGATGGTGTGAACAACATTCTGATTCACAGTTTCTGAATATAGTCTCATGTCATTTGTTATGAATGAGTGTTTTCGAATTTGATCGGTGACACCTGTCAATGGTTCAAGTTGTTACTGGAAACTTGCGCTGAATGGAAGGGGCAAGGGTCAAAGCCCACAGCATCGTCATTTGCCATTGTCCATGGTCGGCATTGCCAATCTACAACACTCGGTCTGTGAGTGCCACCGGACCATTAAAAAGGGATAGCTGGGCAATTGCATTGCTGAAGGGTCTATTGAAATCTGAAATTATATATATAATAAAAAAAAGTCTGGTCATTGGAAGCGGCCACAATGTGTAATTTATAGGAATAATTTTGGGGATGGTCCGTGAATTGAATTCCAACGGCGGTCTGCACTCATGAAATCGAACATTGTATGGAGAACATCAGTTGCTCTTGGAATGTTGCTACCAGTAGACTAAAATTATTTATGGTCATACTACTATAACTTATCCTATTATACCGTAGGTCAGTCAATAGTAGGTCTGATAGCAGTGACCCTCATCGAATCAGGCGCCAAACATGGTTGGAAAAATTCATAATATGTCCAACTTTCAAACGTTGAAGTGTCCCGGGGTGAAAGTCCCTCTCCACCATGACGACGCTTGTCCCGAGGTCCTGAAAAAGGTGTTTGCAGAACAGCTTGATGGCAGCAGCGTTTGGAGGCACCTGAGCACCCGGCGCAGTGATTCAATTGGGACCCGGGAGCTGGGAGACAACCCGTATTTGTGGGTGTGATATGTCAGTTAAGACCTGAACTAAGGACATTCTAAGACCATTTACAAATTACAGTTCAGATTTGAGTTGAGCGTTTGAGTCACTGACTCTGAGAGGGATGCGTCTGCATTTTCTTGCGCACTGCGTTTTTAAAGTATTTAACTGTTTTTTGCTGTAGAGCTCAATCACAAGAAACCTGTGATTGCTGAAGCATTTCATTTGCATGTCCGCCAGCTCTGTCTGATTCAAGCTAAGTTAGGTTTGGGTTGGAGCAAAGATTAGTTTCACACTTAGGCTTAGGTCATCAATTTTTAGCGCGGTCTTCCATCATGTCCCCAAAGACCAAGACTGTGCTCAACACCGGCATGACCAAGGAAGAGATTGTGAAAACGCCTGAGAAGAAAGGTTCCAAAGCCCATGCTTCGGCCGTGCCAGAATCCCGAAAGCGTGCACATGACGGCTTCTTGGAGTTCACCCCAGATCGTCCGACTAAAGCACTTCGGTCGCCGATGGCGCCCGAGAGGATTCCGGCACAGACTCAAACCTCCTTGGAATCATCGCCTTCTGATTCAGAGAACATACTTTTGAGCGGCCTCAAGAACCTCAAGTTGAACCCGAAACCTACTGCGTCCCTTCCCAAGGGGCTTACTGTCGCAGATTCAGTGAAGTCCCCTGACAGTGGGGGTTCAGTGCAGGCACACCGGGCATCACCAGTAAGCTTGGATTGGCCTGTGGGATACGGTGTGCAACAGACAAAGAAAGACCACACCCCTGACCGTGGAAAATTCCGGCGAATGAGGGCTACAACTTTTGAGGACTCCGAGTGAGTGGTGAGGGATTTGCCAAGTGACTTAGTGAAGACTAGGAAATTTTGAAAATAATTTGATTCGAACAAATTTGGAGAAAAAGTAGGTGTAGGAGGAACGTGCTCTATTCGATATTGCACGGAACGTTATCACCACCCCAGACATCACAAGCGCGCAGAGGGAAAAAGAACTCAGATTTGAATGGGCCAACGGAACATGACAACAGCAAGAATGTACTGTGCCGTGATATGTTTCTGGTTTTTACTTCAGGTTACCCAGGTTCTGAGGAAAAGTGGTACCCGCTTAGGACATGGCACACGCTCTCACACCACATCAAGTGTGGGTCTCATGTCTCAAACCCGATTGCTACCAGGCCGACCCTGACAAAGAAGCAAAGCAATCTCTTTTTCGCCGGGGCCCTGTCGAAGTGGGAAGGTTGGTTGTCAGCTTCCATGACATCATGACCATCATAAATCATAAAGTTTAGTATTTTTTTTATGATACTGTTCACTCCGACGGATGGTTTTTGAAGGAGTGTTAAACTGTGAAACTGTCATTTTCAAGGACGCCGCCTAGCTTTACGTGACATGGGAAACAAACAGTTTGGCACACAAGGTCTGGTGTTCATCATCGATTGATTCTGTGTGGGTGGTTCATGCCATCTATATCATCATAAATCATAAACCTGTTTAGTTTAAAGAATTGAACTCTGAAATTTAATTTGACCAACCCTGAAATTGTAATTTTTACTATGAAACCCCTGCCAGTCACTCAATCAGATTTACACTACACACACATATATATATAATACATATAATAGTAGATGTTTATTTCAATCAAATCAACTCTACTTCCACAATCAAGGAACTTTTCCTCACCAACCTAAGTAACGATTTCAGCCAAGGTGATCCTCCGGACGATAAACCACGCTATGCTGATGATGACGCGTATGACGCTTTTGGATTTCCATGTGGACGGGGATCACATTTTGAAGCCGGGGGAAGATTTGTTAGCTGCCAGAGTTGTTCCTGTCGAATCTATGCGGATTTTGAAATTCGTCGCTGATGATGAGTCAACTCAACATAAAGCTTTCAACTACATGTTCGACAACAAAGTGGGCCTAGCATTGCGCGGTTACAGTGATTCTGAAACATGTCATCCTACTTGGAACGCATTTCGAAAATCTGTGAGCCGGGCCGGACTGACTGTAGCAATGATGAAGTTGACATTGTGCTGCAACTTGGTGTTTATGTAGAACTCTGAAACTTTGTGTTTTCCATTCCCCTTAGCATTCCCTAATACTACAGTTCTCTCTTCGTTAACTGAGCCTTAGGGATGAACTCTGCTTATTTTTTGACTTTGTCACCAAGGTAACTTTGATCATGGTGCTTACAAGAGCGGAGATAAACTGGAGGCAAAACGGGATGCTTTCCAACAGTACTTGGTGGGCCAGGATGAAAGTTATTTCGAAAGTTTCCAAGAAAGCGTAGCTTCTGACAGGGGTGATGTATACACTGCGTATGGTGATCATGAGCAAGTGGCCGATACAATGTATGATTGGCTGAACAGCACGGCACTCCGCAATCGAGGAATGTATGCAACATGGAATAATATAAACAACATTTTTTTAACCCATATATCAGTATGTTTTTGTTCAAAGAATCCATCCAGCTTCCCCAACTGATACATGGGAACATGTCTATGCTTTCAAATGTTCAAACCATTGACATTTATGGGCTTGGTTCATTCAGAAACCAATCACCTGCTATGTCATAAACTTGAACTCCTCGCCAAGGTGAAGAATAAAGCTTGGTTTGGTTTCCAAGCGTCAGTGCGTGATTTGTTGTCGACGTGGACCATACAGCAACAGGCACTACTGGCCCTCAAGAGTTCTGTGGACCGGGCGGTCAACAAGAAAGTTATTTCTGGATTTGGGGGAAGCCTTCAATATGCAATTTCAATCTATGTTTTTATACATTTTCATTTAGCATTTAGGCGGTTCAAACTGACCTGACTGTTTAGTTTAGTAGATCTTTTATTTTACCATCGGGGAATCGGCTGTGATCGTTTCATTAAATTATGGACCTTTTAGCCCCGGGGTGGCGTTATTATTATATTATAAAGTCAGTTTCAACAGGGGCCCTGATGTAGGAGAATGACATGGAACCTGATGATGATACTGAAATGCCTGAAGTTGACGGAGAAGAACCACCGGCCCCGAGAAACAAAGCAGAATTTTACAAGTTGTTCAACCAGAAGGGGCCAACAAATATGATTTGTGGTTTCATGCTGGAGAAGTCTTTGAAGTTGAGCGCTCACATCTTGGTAGATATTAGCTACCCTCTGGAAAACAGCTACTACCGGGCACTGGAGAAGATTTCACAGGGATGGACTGAACAGGAAGCGTTTATCAGTGGCCGCTCTGCAGGTGAGTGGCTTGTGACAGTGCATGAGATCATGCAGGTTTTGGAGTTTGACGCTTTTCACAACCACTTAGAGTTGTCTCAGTGCATGCGGCTTGAAAGACCCCCATCCCCAAACAACTGGCCAGTATGGGCATTGGGGGAAGAGACAGTGTTGGATGAAGCTTACTGTTTTGGGGTGACCCTTGCCGAGAATGTTTTGTGGTCCAATATCCACCACTGGCTGGAATTTCCTAGCGTGGTTGCGACTGTTCTACACCATGACCAGGAAGTTGTAGACATGTCGTTCATTCACATGACAAAGTTGGCCAGGGCTGTGAACGCTGCAGAAAATGTGAACTCAGCCAAAATGAAAGAACTGTTGAGTGATCTTGGTTGGAACCGGGAACAATTGGCCAGGGAGTCTATGGCCCTCATACTTCAACTGGAAATTGAGGAACTCAAGAAATTGGCCCGCAGGTTGTTCAGAGGTACACCTTCGACGAAAGACTGTTTGGAAAATACTTTTGCCTTCCTCCATCGCAAGGCCCAGGTTCATAGCACCAACAACAAGATGTCAGACATGGTGAAGTATTTGTATACAATCCTGAGCCCTTATGCAAAGACCGGTGGGTGCCCACAAATTTTGCCGTCCAAGAGTGACATGCAAACAATCCACTCCCCGCAAGGGTTTGCAACAAGAGTGCAAGCACACCGAAGTTTGTTCTCCCCACAGCACTCGCTGTTTCCCTGCCCAAAAGCCGTACCGAAACCAGGACAACTGCTTTTTAGAAAGTCCAACTGTTTTTAGAAAGTCCAACTGTTTTTTAGAAAGTCCAACTGTTTTTTTGTTCAAACTGTTTGGGAAATGGTACGCTGTTACGCTTGTTCATCAATCACCATCATGCAGGACAGATTTATGCTACAGGGTTCAAAGCGGCCGGGGTCGGAGCTCAGCAGACTGCTTCTGCAGCAGCTGCATATCTTTTGCAGGATTTTGAATCGAACTGGTCCCACATTGACCTTTGCTGGATCGGTGACTTTTCTGTTATTAATACACCATCAACTGTTTTGGATTGTCTTTTCAGGCTATGCCATTTTGGGAGTCCCCATTGTTTTTATACAGCTCTAACTTGGTCATGAGGGGCAACAGTACATGTTTGAAGATACACTCAGGGGGCAATTTCAATTATGGGCAATTTATATTTATTTCGAGCGGCCCATTTGGGACACATTGACACTTTCTGAGGAAGTTTGTTCGTTTCCGGGTGCGTTTACTACAACCGCATCAACAACATGTATGTGCTCAGCTTTGGTTTCCGGAAATGGGCAACGGTAGGATGTCCGTTGCGAAAAGAGACAATGGATGGGAAGGACTCCGGACAAAACAAGAGACTCCAGTATTGTGCATTTTTTCCTTACCAGCAAGAGTTTAGCAAAGTACTTGAGTAAGGATTCCAGTCGTCGAATGATGAATACCTTCCTTGGAAAACCACATCATGTTTGATTCCTCACAGTTGTGACAGGACTACCTGGTGATCTGTGCGCCTGTCGAGATGTCGCAACCTCTAGCACGGGACCTATCTTGGATGATCAGCTATGAAATGGATGGGTCGTGGCGTTTTGTCCCGGTCAAGCGGCTGATTCGGGGCTTGTTGCCTGAAAGTCTCTTTCTAGCTGGTCGACGCTTCTGTTGGGAAATCACATCGGTGGAGTCAGAGTATGAATCTTTGATCTATTCAGCTGTGCGAGAGGGTACTTGGGTTGCCCTGGCAAATTTGAGGCAAATTTGCAACAGCCTTGGACTAGATCCTCCCAAGACAGGATCGGGCAAAAATAATTCTGTTCTCAAGGCTGATTGGGCGCGGAAGCTTGTGGAGTTTTTGTTTCCAGAGGCTACTCAGGAGGAAATGAAACGAATGATCAGTGCTCTTACCTGGAAGTCCGGCAAAATGGGCGGATTGAAGGACAAGGAGCGAGAAGTTTTAGAGATGGTTTCGGAACTAGACGAAGAAAACCGTGAGGCCCCTGAATTTCAAAAAATCATCAAGTTGGCTCAATCCCGGCTGAAAGAGATGGAGAAACGGCAAATAGTCTCAACAACCAAAACGATGGTCTTAGAAGAAAAAGAAAGAGCAGACAAGGCAAAGGCAGAGGCAGAAGCCGCAGCAACACAAGAGCGAGAGAGGCGAGAAAGAGAGCAAGAACTACCCAGTGCAAGTTCAGGAATTAGGAGACCTTCTCAAACTCCTGCCAATCTCAGGGATTTGTTGTTGCCGGAAATGCTCGCGCAGAAGATTTCACTGAATCGGGACCCCGGTGCCTATGGGTACAGAGCGTTCTACCCAAGTTTCTTGTTCACCAAACAGTACGACATTTTTAGTTTTCATGGGTGACACTTTAAAGATATAATATAATATTATTAATATATGTATTTAATATATGTATACTTGCGTCAAAAAAAGGTGTTTAACTCAGAAATCCATCAAACCTATTGCGGTACCCTGACCTGAAATGAACCCCGCAGTTTCCAATCTGAATCTGAATCATAAGATATCATAAGACGGTTCACTCATAGGTTTTTCTCACTGTCATAGATTTCAGTCATGTCCAAATGATTTCTTCGGTCCATTTAAGGTAAAGAGATTGGCCTCCAAAAGAACTTTCAAAGAAAGTGGCATACGGCCAAGTGCTCGGAAGAGCACGAAGCTCTTCATGCATGTGTACAGTTTATCTACGCTCGCTGGAATGAAGCAAACCCTTCTAAGAAGGTGGAACAGTTCTTTGGTAACATCACAGAGTATGTTTCGATTTTTTATTTTATTTTTCCGGGGCTCTTTCTTCCGACTCTTCTTCACCTGGGTCAATCTCCCTGGCCATTGAACTCAGGCCGGCACTCGAGAAGATCAAGGAATTCATCGAGAACTCGTCCAAATCGAAGTGATTTCGACACCATAGCAGAAAAAACGGGATTGATCGGCACCGGTTGCATCATTCTATCATTGTCATCATCATTTGAATCATCATGTCATGGTCTTCAACCTAGATTTCAATGCATATCATATATTGTATTGCATGTTTGATGAAGCACTGCTTCACTCATATCGCAAGTGATGATTCACTCCAGAAAATAGTGCCTAATAAGGGCCTAATAGGTCCAAATAAGGTTTGGACATCCTTTGTGCCAACAAGCTGTGGTTGAGGGGGGGGTTCAAGGGGGGGGGTTTGGAGATTGTGATTATTATCATCTATTGCTTAGAATTGTAGTTCTTGTTATTGTTACTAGTACTGTTTTTCCTGATATACATTTATATATGTATGTACGTTTTGTATGTAATGTAATGTATGTTCGTGGGGGTCCGGCTCAAAATAGACCCGAGTCTCCCCGCATTTTTTGAGGCGGAGGTGGCTTCCAGACGGCTACGCCTCCATGGAAGCTTCCAGGATGGATGGATGGTTTGACTGGGATTTTTGATGGGATTTTTATAGGATTTTCATGGGATTTTCATCCGAAAATGGTGGAAAACCACCATTCTTACCAGGAAAATTATGACAGAAAGGGATATTCATGGGATTTCACCAACCAGAAATGGGATTTGCCATAGGGTACAGGGATAAACTTCGGATAAACAAACATAGATGTGGAAAACCAATGGTTTCCTTGGGAAAGTGATCTAGAAATGGTGGATTTTCCGCATCTTTTTACACATTTACAGTAAGGTAGCCAAAATATGGGGATATGATGGGCTTATTATGAGATTATCATGGGGATATAGGGGTTGTAATTGGGATATAATGGGATATAATCTGGGATATCATGGGGATATAATCTGGGATATGTATGCAACAAGATAATGATTCGGATTGAGGACATGATCTCCCATGAACGGAGGGGTTCGGAACTATGGTTGTATCCATATTCCTAACAAAAGCCATGGGCAGTTGGAGCTAGGAATAGAGTTTCCCAACCATATGATGATTGAGAACATAACTTGATCACGAATCTTTTAACAACAGAGTTAACACATCCACAAGTGAGACTCTTGTAGATGATATTGTCGTAGATGATCTATGATTTAGACGTGACTTATTTGAAGCAAGAAATAAAGATGGGCACGTACTGTATTTGATTCAAATGGCAAATGGGAATCGGAAGAACATGAGATGCACGCTACTTTGACCAACCATCCCACCAATTTTGATCAATTTTGAACATTTTGATGGTTCTTTCTGGTAGGTGCACAAGTAAGTTGAAAATGAGTTTCTTTGAACACTTTGGGAAACCCTCCAAATGCCATCGGTTTATCATCATTTTTCCCAGAGGAAAAGGCAATTTGATGGATTGGAGGCCCTGCCCGCAGGAAGTGGATCGTTTGCGGCGAGGAGCTGTGAGTATGGGCCAGGTGTGGCGGAACAACAAAGCCTGGTTGGCTGTGAGTAAAACTGGCTGCACTGTTTACCATCCCCTAGTCATAAAAGCATTTATAGGTGGTATAAATAAACCATTCCCAGTCATGGGTGGTTTATGGCATTGTTTTACCCACATTAATTTGTTGGGACTTCTACTAGCTAATTTATTGGGGAAATTGAGGATTATGAAGTAAGCCATAGGATTAGGAAACCATTTTCACGCAACTAGTATGATGAGATGGGATAGGGGTATTTTCCATGGCTCAAATGACCCTTGTTGATGGGTTAAGACAGGTGAGTGAAGCTATCTGGTTGATTCGGGATCATGAACTAAGCCATTTTATAGGGAATAGCTATTTACCAAGCAATATTTTATCAGATGGGATAGGGGTATAACTTTCATGGCTCAAAAACTGGGTATTTGTCAAACCATAAAAAACCCCAAGCCATAGGATGCTGGGAGCGGTGAAGGGAGCTTTGGAGCGATATACATATTCCCAACAAACATTTGGGAACCAGTTGGAGCTAAGGTCGTTTGCCAACCACCTGTAACTCTTGAACTGAGTTTTTGTGCCGCAGCCTGGTCAGTTTGGTCAACTGCCCATGTTGGGTGATGGTCAAAAGGGTCCATTTTTCATAAGGATTTATATACCCATGTTGTTTGGATTCCCATTGGTAGATGATCATAAACCATATACAATCTTTTGACCATGGCAGAGATGAAGATCTATCGTTTCTATTTCCTAGTCACCCATATTAGCAGCTATTTCATCAGCAAATATGGATATTCCCAAGGTTATCACTCTATTTATATATCAATGGACTGGTTTAAGGGAAAATCTACAGGAAACCATAGATTTCCCATAGATTTCCCATGAACTATGGGGCTTTCCTGTAGAATTTTCCTTCAACCAATCCATTGAATATAGACTTTCCATGACATTCCCAGCTCCATTCCCCGTGACCACCGTGACACTTGACACGACCCCGAAAACGGGAGGCGCGAACGGTCTTCACCATTCTCCGGATCGAGTTGGATCAAAAGGACCGCCGGGGGTTTCAATGGGTGTACCCCAACAGCTGGATGGTTTACCCTCTGGTTCTGACTAACATAGCTATTGAACATGGCCATAGAAATAGTGAGTTTTCCCATTAAACATGGTGATTTTCCATAGTTATGTAAACGTTTACCCGAGGGTATTTCATGGAAAATCCCAACAAAAAATGGATGAGAACTGGAGGTACCAAGGCCTCGGAAACCACCTCATTTTATGACATTTGATGTGTCATAGCATCGTGACGCCAAAAAAGATAGTTCGAAGGTCCAATTGATCACTATTTTGCGATTTTACGAACTTCTATCTTTTTTTGGGTACTATACAGGAAACATTGTTGCTTTCCACCATGACATTTAAAGGGGTTTGCTATATTGTAACTAAAGAAAACGATTGGAACTTCATTTACCATGATTTTTAGTAGGATTTTTCAATTCTATCTGTTGATCATCATTTTCCCTAAATAGCTATTGTTCATCATTTCGCCGGGTTTTTGTAATTTTCTCTCTAAAAATCGCACTCTCAAAATGGCGAAAAAGGAGTTGGAGATGCTGCAACGACTCTATGACGTGGATGGAGCGGGGCCTCGGATAGTTATCAACGATGTTAGAAAAACGATGTAGTCATAGAGTAGAATATTAGGACATTTCCAAAAGGCACCTCAGTAAAAGGGGAAAAAATAGGAATCTCGGAATCTCGGAATGAAGAGTTCCATATTCAAATATTCTATCTGCTGCCTGATGATATATACGTACTATACTAAAGATATATGGTTAAAAGACCAACTGGCATATGGACTTTCCATGATGTCAAGACCACATCATCCAACTCTAGGCATCCAACTGGTTGATATACCATCCCCAGTTTTCCCAGCATTTTTCTATATTTTTCTCATGAAAGGACCAGCTTTTTTTCGCGCAGTTGGATGTTTTTCCTCAAGGCCTCTTCAACTACCGGGACTTCTGCAATCGAATCCTGGAGGCCGGGAAAACCCAAGGGGATCCCAAGGTGGTGTTGAATCCAGTTGTAGATTGATATTGCTTCATATTGAATGGATATTAGTTGAATCCAGGGGATCTATAGTGAAATATCCACTAATCACTTGATCACATGGATATAACTCACAAAAAACTCAATTTTTTCGAATAGAAAATGAATGCAACAAAAAACACCAGCGATTGGTATCAATCAGAGCCTTTTTTACATGTCATATCCCGAAGATCAACAAAAAATCATCTGGACTGGGTCGGACTGGGTCTTAGCTTCATCACCGACGTGCTCAGGTTCCACTGGATGCCAAACTTGAGGATATCTCTCCAATCTCAGCCAGTGAGGCATGCCGGGTGGCCGTAACTTTGACCTACGATCCATGGACCAGTCAGCAAGATGGGCAAATCCAGGGGAAGATTCACATGATTCACTTCGCGAATTTGGGTCATCGGAGATTTTTCCTGGAAGATGGAGAAATCAAGAACATCATCAACGTCTTGGGGCTTGGTGGCGGCTTTGTCTCGAAGTGAATTCCCCACGAAAGAATGGTGATGAGAAACCATCAGGTTTCATCTTCAAATGCTGGAAGCACACCGCGCTCAGGGCCCTCCTTATCTCAAGAGGCACGAGCCAGACACCTCAGTTGTCCAGTCTGGGGAGTCCTAACCAGGTTACTCAGTTGTGCCATGGTCAAGTGAGTTTAATTATGTTTATGCTAATGGGTGCAAAACCGTACGTGTAGTGACACACATTTTCAACATTCCCAATTTCACATCATGTTTTTGATCTTACACACCATGTTGCACTCTTATGTTCACGTAACTGGCAACGCGGGGTGGGCTGGGGTGGGGTGGGGTGGGGTGGGGATGTTAACGTTCGTTTGAAGTTGAACACGCCACTGATGCTACGCTGAGCATGGGGTGGGGTGGGGATGTGAACGGGAAAACGCGTTGTGTCCTGACCTGTTGAAAAAAACAGCACAGGTCTACATGCACAATGATCACTGAAACTGGCAAGGCAAAAAAAGGTCCGGATTTCGTGTGGAAGGGTTGCCAAACGCAAGAAACATGTCATTTTTTTAAAAAATATTTTTACTTTGAGACGGCTACGAAACACTGAAAGGGTTGTCATTTTTTGACCATGGTGATGCGCCTACACGCGCGATTCCGCACCCGGCGGGATGTTTATATATATATATATTAATTGGATTAATCCGTTGATGGGAATATTCACTCCATTTTCATAGGTGAAACACACCCATGATGTTTGGATTCCCATGATACGAACGCTGGGGCCGCGCGCTGAGGCGCGTGCGCACGCGACATGCCCTGCAGCCGGATGCAGAGGCAGCTGGGCAGCCGATAGGTAGATGATAGCCGCAAGGGGAAGCTAGTCATTTGACCACTTTATCTACCCAGTTGCCCCCCAAAGAATGTGTCTGGGGTGTTGGGAGCAACCCTGATTTACTGCCATGAAATGAGGAACATGAGGAACTTGATGAAAAGAAAAACATGGGATGGAATAGGGATTCCCTTTTCATAACCCTGATGCGTACTCTGGTGTTCACAGCAAATAGATAGTTCTGACGAATGTTCATTCCCCCCATCAACAGACCAGAGGTATTGACCCATATCTTTAGATTTTCAATTTTGCAAACCCTCTGGCATTCAGTCACATGGCTTGCCGGAAAAGTCACTATTTAGTTTCGTTCCATGATTTTCCCATATCATATTACAGTCATATTGGTTCGTAGATGCCGATTTTTGGTTCCGGATTTCCCAGCCATGTATTTTTTGACCGGCGGGTTTTTGTTCGATGTATATCCCAACAAAAAGCCTGGAGATGAACATCCGCCCGTTGCAGGAACTGCTGGAAGAAGCTGAGCATGGCACCTAGTGATACCCGATGTAGCAATTGGTATGGATGATTTGTATCCCCAAAACCATGCAGAAACGGGTTAAATTCTCCAGTAATTCCAATAGACGTGTTTTACATTTTACACATATATATATACATACATACGTATATATATATATATGTATATATATGTGTATATATATGTATATATATATACATATATATATACATATATATATACATATATACACATATATATACATATATATATACGTATATATATACACGTATATATATATACATATATATATATACATTTACATTATATATATAATTATATATATATAATTATATATATATACATACATATACATATACATATACATATACATATACATATATACATACACATACACATATACATACATACATACATACATACATACATACATACATACATACATACATACATACATACATACATACATACACATACATACATACATACATACATACATACATACATACATACATACATACATACATACATACATACATACATACATACATACATACATACATACATACACATATATATATACATACACACACATATATATAATTATATATATACACATACATATAACTTTTTGCGGGGTTGCTGTGTCCTGACGGATGGTGGAAAAACAAGCCTCGCCAACCAAGCAACCCATCTCAGGCTATGGATAGCACGTCGGGCCGAACACAGGACGATCAACGTGAAGGCCTTAAGGTTCAGAAGCACAAGCCTCGTCTCGCTGGGCCGATTCGGGATGCCGTCAGCTGAAGTGAATGCGGCTTCCAAGTGATGAAATTTCGCCTCGCATTTTGGGGTCCTTTTCAGACAGAACCCGTAGCCATGATCTTTGGATGCACATTTGAGCAATGATCGCAAGGGCTTCTCAGAAAGCTTGTCACAGATCGGTGACAACCAGTTTTTGGTTAGAATCCGTTTTTGGGGTGGTTATGGGTCAAAACCCATGGAATTCCTTGCAGCTCACAGCTACTTTTGCTGGCATTTATAGATGTTCATTCCCCCCAAATCTGCGGTATTTCATTGGTACCCTCCAGCAAATCAACAGTTCTAACCTGGCACATAGGGGTTGGAAGATGAGTTTCCACTAAACAATCTAAACATAGGTTCTTTTCAGGGTCAAACTGTTAATTTACCAAAGAGTCATTTGATCCCCAGGTGAAATCCCACTTCTTGGATTATGACAAACTCCGCTGCTCCCGCGTGACGCGAAGCCAGTACTCCGGGCCTTCAAGTTGACCCAGGGCCCCTGGGGCTTTCTGAAAAATGGTGGATCCCTAAGTCACCATGGGTTAACCTATGCTAAAAGGGTCATCCATGACTTGGATGATTTATGATGATTTCGGGTACCCCCCATAACTTAGGACATTTTCATATTGAAGATGATGATGACTGACGATGACTGACGATGACTGACGATGACTGACGATGACTGACGATGACTGACGACCTAGTTTTGTGCTTAAGACCTCTGCCGAGCCAAAAGCGGCTCCGCTGTTGTGGCCCTTTGGCTCAAGGGCCATGCAGAGCCCCTGCCGGTTATACCATGGAAGCTACCATGGAACCCAGTACGCAGCACCAAGACTTCCCAGGTATTTCTGACCCTTGAACCAGACAGACTCCTTGGCTCACAGATCCATGTGATACCATGCTTGGGAAGCTAGGACCTAGCTAGGAGGAATATCGAAAGAGCATGAACGGGCCATGTGCTGCTGCTGAAATTAGCTCTTCAGCTGAGAACAAACTCAGATCCAGCCCTCATCCATCCATCGTCACGGCATGGAAGTTGCTTTTCGAAGCGCCTAGAGGCATGGGAATTGCAACTGGCAACCAGTGAAGATTTGGGAACAGTTGGAATTAGCAAAGTTCTTGGAAACATCCCGATGCAGGTGTTTACCTGACTGCCTGTTATTGTATAGGACTTGTGATAGGGGCTGGGGACTCCAACAGTTTTTGCCGCAGGCAATGGTTCTCATTGAGGGGCGCAGACGGGAGCAGCCACAAGGGCAGAAGAGGTTGGAGACTGCTGACTGCTCTTGTGATTCTTGTCTCCTCGTTGAATTGCTGCCATCTTGGTACATCCGATTTTTCAGGATTGCAGTCCTGGCATCCCAATGAAATGCTCTGGAATCTCCTGAAACCCTAGGAAAACCATGGTTTTCCATGGAAAACCCATGGAAAACCCATGGAAAACCCATGGGTTCCCATCACTTCTTCCACCAGGCCCGTGGACGACGCCGTTGCCGCGGCCGCGGCTGCCGCCAAGCAGCCACGCACGGAGCCGTCAAGCTTGGGAGCAGTCCTGGCAGCGGTGACTTGGGGATGGTTGAGGTGGTTGATGATCCATTGGGGGGTACGCTATTTTCAGACCCGGATGAACATGAACAAGGGAGGCCCCAAAGTGATGTTTGGTTTACCCGTTCATGTATCTATCGGATCTATCGTAAACCGTAGGATTCACTGATTTTTAAAACCAGCTTAGCTATCATTTGGGCTTCACCTTAGGAGGCCCAAAAAAGCCCAACTTTGCTGTCTCCCATTTTGAGATTTATGGAGATCGCTCCATTGATAGGTGCAAGGTGGCGGTCACGTTCAAAGATCGCGAAGGGGTATCGACCAATTTTTGGTGGTCAAATCATCCTTTTCGGTGCTCAGTTCCAATTGGATGGGAAATCATCATTTTTGCCTCTGATTTCCCGAACTCTTGATCTCTTTTGATGCTTCCAGGAAGCCCTTTGATGGGATGATGATCTTGATTTTTTTGAACAACCCTCCTTGCTTAATTCCCATTATATATACTGCATCATTTATTCACTTACAATACTAATCGTTGGTGGTAAACAAACAACCATCAGTTTTGTAAACACATCTAAAAACTTTCCCCTTAAGTCCTAAGCCTAAAACAATGGGTTCACATGACCAGTTATTCATATCTAAAAACTATGGGATATTCATGATACACTGGTTTCATGGAAATGAGCGCCATCATATACAGTAGTGACTAAAAATAACCACTACTAAAAAACTCTCAAGTCGTGCAACCGGATCCCATTTTGTGACTGGTTCTCCCACGAATATCCAACAGTCACTGATACTCATGATGCACTGATAAGGGAGAAGATTTCAATGGTATGAATATTCACCGTTAGCGGGATTCATAACTAAAATTCTCGTCCCGAATGGCAATCAATTAACCTGGTTGAAATTTACCCTCTGGTCAACATACTAAAAGCTATTCAAAATTGCCATTTATAGTTGATTTTCCCATCAAACATTGTAATTTTCCATTGTTATGTTAGTTTACCAGAGGGTAATGAGTTTATCTTTGGTGGTGTTGACTCGGCGAGCAGGGTGAACAATTGATTGGTTTGACGAACCACCGTTACATGCGTTATGACCGCAACTGGCCTCCCAGGCTATCCAGGTGGTGTGTAAATGACCCAACTGTAAATGAACTCCAGCGTCATGCTGAATTATACATTATTCATAGTTACAATAGACCACTAATAAGCCATAAAACTCGATAAACTAGCTAAACTAGCTTTATCAAGCTAAGAAACTCCATCATCCAAATGTACAATACATAACCCACTAGCCTTCTTGGTGACTCCCCCCAGTAAGCTGGGTTATAACCCTCATTGATCCCGTGGGGTGAGTAGGATTAGTCCACGACTAGCCCCATCCCCATTGTGTTCAGCACCCGCATTGTATGGTCCCAGTCGTGGTTTCATCACTACTTTTACCAGGCTGAACGGAGGACAGGAGTTGAATTTTTATCATATCCCCATTGAAGAAATCACCATTCATCACAGCTACATTCCCATTGGTTTATGGGGATCTCCCATATTGTATCCATTATATCCCATATGGCTATGGATCAATACCTATAGATAGAGTTTATTAGGGGATGAACATCCATTTACCAGCTATTTTGATGTGAACAGAAGGGGTACAAGGTTTTGACACACTGCCATATGATATCTCATATGATATCCCATATGATATCCCATTATAACCATGAATCACCACTCTATTGCCATTGGACAATTTTGGGTGCCTCGAAAAGGCTCAAGCTCCGGCCCCTCCTGGCCCCCTGCCTGGAGCGACAGCGTGCCTCGGCGGGAGCAACATGTGACGAAGGTCCATAATACGCAAATTCGATACCAAAGGGATATGGACTATTCATGGAATATTAAGGCTAATTTGGGAATATCAATGGCATACTTTAAGGATATAAATGATACGGTAATCACATTTAAATATGTGGTGGCCGGGCCAGGGCAGTCAGGCTCGGAGGTAGTATGAAATACCAGTTCTGTACGTATGTTTAAATGGTAGGGCCCACTCCGCATGTTTAAAAAATTGCAAACCACAGGGAATATATGCAGGTAAATGGTAAATGGTCCAAATATATGGTGCTGATGATTTGGAACACTCTATGAGTCGAGTTGTTAAAGTTAGACCCAAAACAATGGTATTGAGAGCGGCCTGTGGGATTGCTACACAATCATCAGATGGAAATGGTTGTACGGTACTATACGATTTTGGCTTTGGTGGAAATTCCTTTCATTAAAAATTCGAACTGGGTGGAAGCGCCTGGCTAGAAATTGCTTGCTTCTCTCTTTCTTGCAAGAAATGTCCTAGGTGGAGTTCCTGGGTGGAAGTTCCTTGCTTCTTGTGTGGAATTCCTAGATGAATTCCCTAGGTGGAATTTCGCGAGTGGTGGTGGAAGTTGCTTGTTTCCCGCTTTCCGCGGAAAAAAACCTAGGTGGGATTTCTTGGGTGGGGTATCCTGGCTGGCAATTCCTTGCTTTCCTTTGTCTTGGGGAAAAATTGCCTAGGTGGACTTACCTGGCTAGAAATTGCTGGCATCTTTCTTCCTCAGCAAGACTTACCTGGGTGGGGTTTTGTGAGTGGAAATTCCTTAGTTTCCTGTTGTCTGGTTGCAAGTTACTTAGGTGGAGTTTCCTGGGTGGAAGTTCCTTGCAGTGCTCCTGCTCCTTCTTGGAATTCCCTTTTTGGAATTTAAGGGATTTGCTGGCTTCCCTCTGTCTGCAGAGAAATTCCCTAGGCCCTAGGTGGAGCTTCTTGAGTGGGGTATTCTAGCTGGCAATTCCTTGCTTTCCTATGTCTCGGGGATAAATTGCCTAGGTGGACTTACCTGGCTAGAAATTGCTGGAATCTTTCTTCCTCAGCAAGACTTTCCTGGGTGGAGTTTTGTGAGTGGAAATTCCTTAGTTTCCCGTTGTCTGGTTGCAAGTTACTTAGGTGGAGTTTCCTGGGTGGAAGTTCCTTGCAGTGCTCCTGCTCCTTCTTGGAATTCCCTTTTTGATTCCTTTTTGGAATTTAAGGGATTTGCTGGCTTGCCTCTTTCTCCAGAGAAATTTCCTAGGTGGAGTTTCTTGGGTGGGGTATCCTGGCTGGCAATTCCTTGCTTTCCTTTGTCTTGGGGAAAAATTGCCTAGGTGGACTTACCTGGCTAGAAAGTGCTGGATTTTTTCTTCCTCAGCAAGACTTACCTGGGTGGAGTTTTGTGAGTGGAAATTCCTTAGTTTCCCGTTGTGTGGTTGCAAGTTACTTAGGTGGAGTTTCCTGGGTGGAAGTTCCTTGCAGTGCTCCTGCTCCTTCTTGGAATTCCCTTTTTGGTGGAATTTAAGGGATTTGCTGGCTTGCCTCTTTCTGCAGAGAAATTTCCTAGGTGGAGTTTCTGGGTGGGGCATCCTGGCTGGCAATTCTTTCCTTTTCTTTGTGTT